GGCCACCCAGCCCAGCCAAGACTTTCTGGGACAGAGCAGGGGCCAGTGGGAGAACGTGTGCAGTGTCCCCCACATCATCACGCAGAGGAACTTGCTGGGCAATGGTCTGGAGGCTGTTAAATGGCTGAGGAACAGGCTGGAGAGTCATGGCTGAAGAGTTATAGACAGTGGCTCAATGTGCAGGTGGAAAGCAGTAAGTGGTGCTGTCCCTCAAGTTTCCTTAGTGGGACCAGTCCTGCTGAGTGGCTTCATGGAGAATGGGATTGAGTGAACCTTCAGAAAATTTTCAGCTGACAGCAACTGGAGTTGATTGACGAGAGGGCAGAGATGCCAGCAAGGGACAGGCTGGAGAAGTGGCGCCATGCAAACATCCTGAAGTTGAAGAGGGCCAATTGGCGGGTCCTGCACGTGGGTTAGGGCAATCCCCAGTTTACACAGAGAGTAGGGGAGAGGGAAGAGGTGTGCAGAGAAGTCCTTTGGGTTCTTGGTGGGTGATAAGATGGGACATGAGGTGCCAGCGGGCACCTGCTGCTGCAATGGTGTCCTGCACTGCATGAGAAGTACTCTGCCCAGCAGCAGGTCGGAGCAGGTACTTCCCCCACTCCCAAATCTTTTTGTGAGACTGTAGAGTGCATGGAGATGTTTGGCCAATATCCCAAGTGGCCATGGTGGAGTGTCCAGAAGAATGATGGAAGTGGTCTGAGGGCTGGAACATGTCAGCTGTGCAGAAGGACTGAAGGAGTTTAGGTGTTGTAGCATGGAGAAAAGATCCCTGTGTGTAGACTTTTGGCAGTGTTCTTTTGGGGTTTTCTGCTGTTCCAATTTACAAATAAGCCTATAGGAAATATTGTCAGAGCTCTTTTCACCAAGGGTAGTGGTCATAGGACAGTAGAGAAGTGTTTTTAACTAAGAGAAGGGATGCTCGGATTAGGAGAACGATTTGCACTGTTGTTTTTGAGAAACTGGAACATACAGCCCAGAGACCTTTAGATATGGCTCTAACTTTCAAGCTCAGGAGAAAGATATCTCATGGCAGAGATGTCAGTTCAATGACCTTGAAAGAAAATTTACATAGGAATCTGAAAACAATGTTTAGCTCTATGAAGGACAGCATTTCTTTGCAATTTCCATTGTCAAGTGCTCGAATATGGAGATGTAGACAAAACAATCTTATAGAATGAAAACGAACTAAAACTATAATTGTGCTGTTTTGACATAGAAATGGCTCACAGTGCTTTAGGTTGATCTATATATCAGATTTATCCCGGGTAATGAAGGACTAACAGGATATGTGACAATTTGCAAAAAAATCGCTTCCCTATTATATCATTTATTGCTTCTGTACGAGTGCATTATGATTTTATTAACTGCTGCATAATTCCATTCTTTACTGCTCTGCCATGGATATTTGGTATTTAGCGTTCAATCAAAACAATTGTTTTGCGACTCAGAAGAATGGCCTCAGATCACATCATGGATAGAATGGCCTTGGAGTGGGAACAACTTGAATGAATAAGAAACAAAAGGGTAAATGTTATTCTGGTATCATAGCATAGGGGTGGCTTACATTGTTTTAGGCTGATTGTATCCTATATTACTTTATCCCAGGTCATTAAGGACAAACCAAGATGTGGGAGAATAGCGCAGAAAAACTCTTGAAGTACTCTCTACATTATCGTTTATTGCTGCTATAGATGCGCCATGATTTTACTGAGATCATCTGAATTCCTGTATTTACATCTCTGCCATGAATATTTGGTACTGAGTGTTCAATCAAAGCAATTGTTTTGCGACACAAAAGAATGACCTAAGATGACATCGTGGATAGAATGGGGTTGTAGTGGAATGGAGCAGGAGCTTGTGTGCTCGGTGTTTGCAGCGGAGGAGCGAGGCCGGAGGCGGTGCAGCCGCTGAGGCCCGGCCCAAGGCGGGCCCCGTTGAGCGCGGCCATCGGGCGGCTGCAGTGGCGTGGCGGCGCCTCCGGGGGCCGCTGTTGGCCGCCGCCTGCCGGCGCTGGAGCCGCCGCCGCCGCCGCCGCCGCAGCGTCCTGCCCCCGC